TTCCTGAAAACTAGGTTTCAGGGGAGTTTTGTGTCAGCCCATCGAACTACGATTCTTCTACTACTTGATGAAGTAGCAGAGACTGAAAATTAATGCCTTTTTATTTTGTTAAGCTAAATAGAGCACATTAAAAAAAAAAAAAAGGCTATATCTGTGGTTAAAAGGCAAATGGTTCTGCAATTATCTCATTACATCATGTCCAGGCAAACCCCAAATGCTCACTTATTTAAAACAGTATCAATCCCACAGGCAATAGTGCGGGTTCAAAAGTTCATCATGCATACTCAGGTGCTGTGAAAACTAAGAAGGCTTCAGGAATGATGCAAGTCTTCATGTCACTCAACAGCTCAAGGCCAATGGGACAGGCACACCTGGTCTCCTGGGGTGTAAAGAAACACAGATGGCTGCAGCCTCCGTTGTTCTCTGCACATGAATTAGTTCCTTAAAAAAAACGAAAACAAAACAGGTATTGGTGCATTGTGGAGGTAGGGGGGAAAGGGGATGGGGGAGCTGAACAGAAACACAGCATAATTACGGGTTGTCAACAGGGAATTCTACAAAAAACCCATTTGAAACTGTCTCCTTTCTTCTAGGAGGCTAGTCCTATTAGGAAGCTGGTCCTATCCCTCCTATAGTACAAATAACAGCTACAAACATATCCTTCTAGTTTCCTCAAAGATTAAATTCCTTCACTGAAGGCAGGTAACCACATACATGTTCAGCTTGGTTATTTTTGGCCACGTCCCCCATCCTCGTATGTCTTTGAAACCACCAGTTCTACAAATGTTCCATGATACAAAACAATGAGAAAAGAGCTGGATAACTGCAGTTCTTTCCCAGCTGTGCAATTCAACGCTGAGAAGACTCATTAGCAGAAGCAGTTCCAACAAGATCACCACAGTTTCACACTTATTTTTTCGTGTGAACAGCCATGACCATACGGGGAGGGAATGTGGAAAGTAAGAACCAAAAGATAAAATGAGTGACTTTCTCCATCTGCTGGAACCGAGGATTAAGGTATTGAAAGACTGTTACCACAAAAAAAAAAATCTCCAAGGCCAGTGTCAACCAAGTTTCTTTTCATTTTCCCTTTTAGGGCATACATATTTCAGACTGATGCTGGAACTTGCAGCTTGAGGACTTGATTATCCTGCTTCCTGAAAGGCTGGAAATCCATGTACTGGCAGGGTGTAATCTGACAACCTACTTCACGTGATTCTGTTGCGACTATTCTCAGTAATTCTAATAGCTGACCAACAAATCTGTTTACTGCTATGCCCAGGCTCTAGTGTTCCAGGTAGTAGACAGACCTGCGGTGAACACGCACCTCTCATGAGATACTACTGAAGCCAGGAGGTCTTGCAACATACTCCTCTGTGGAATGCTAGCAATGGACCTAAAACACTGGCTGCACTTTTCAGCAGATGCAGTGGAAGAATATGGAGCTCCAGCTACTGATCCCATGCTAAGGGCAAGATTTAATTGTTAAGATTTAAGCACAATTTAGGTGTTAAAGTTAATAGTTAAGTGCCATGTGCTTTGAGGCAACGTTCCACCTGGCATAGTAAAAAGTATTCTGCCAGCTGAACATCACTGGACATTCTGTGAGCACCAGAAGTAACGATCCCAATAGACTGTGGAGGCAGGAATAAAATTCTCCTCACAAAAATTCAAGGAATGTAGTGGAAGCTGTGGAAGACTTATGTCAAATGCCACTGAAAACTGGAAGCCCGTACGTATTTTGCAACACCGTATTTTCCCAACTTTACAAACAACAGGTGCAGTTTTCCTTTAAAATCAGTCAAATGTATGAGACCACAGTAATTCTCATTACATGTGATCAACAGTTGCTTAATGAAAGCAAGCCCATCTAGAAACTACTATAGATCCATCCTATGGTTGCTCATGCTTACCAAACACTTTGGTAACACTTGTTGCTTTAAGGCCCATTAAATCTGGCAGCTGATCAATAATGATGTCTCTGCTAGCCTTTATCTTGTGAACTCTTTCAATGCTTCGTCTCTGCCAGTCAGTCCAGTAGATGTAATCTCCCAGCAGCGTGAACCCAAATATATGTGGAAGCTTATCTTCTAGGAGGGTTTTCCTCATTGTTCCATCAACATTTATGACCTGTGTGATGCACAAGAAAAAAAAGGAAACAATCATCTTCTCTAATGTGGATCCAATTAAAATGGCAATATCAATCATATTTTGACAACTCCTCTGTTTTTACACAAGAACTTCCTGAAATTCACAGCATGCTTCTTTCAAAAGAACTACCTCTAGGTTTGTTGAAAGAGAAATATATTGGAATGACAAGACTGAAAGTGGCTTATTGCACCCCTTCTCCATTGACAAACCTAAGCAACATTAATTTAACTCGCGTCAGTTCGAACCTGCAAAGACCACCACAAAAGGAGTGGTTTTGGGGATGGAAGTGAGGTTCGGGAGATTTTTAATCTCTGCTCGTGTCTTGGTCTCACTACTGGACTCTCTCCCCAGAAACAAGGAATTGCTAGAGTGACCTTCAGCACTCAATCACAGGGAACAGAGGCCATCAGAATTCTTTCAGGGCAGAACAAGGCCATGTAGAATCTGCACGTTCAGAAATTTCATTTTTTTACCATGAAAGAATGAAGTTTTTCTCACTCTTGCGATAAGCAAGATCTTCAATATGCGGAATAAGTACGAACTTATATAAAATTGTATTCCTAAAACTGCAGAGAAAGCAAAAGCATTGGAGATGAGATAAGCCCCACAGATACATATATATATATATATATATATATGCTATTGGTTAATTATTTCATAACCAATTACTACAATGATCTCACGCTACCCCATTTGCTTGACATAAGGGAAGGGATTCATATAGTTTGACCCCGATCAATAATCACTGGGCAAGATAGGAAATTAAAATGCCCACACACCTCCATCTACCACGCAAGCTACAATAATCTTTTCAATCATCCAGACATCTATTACCCATGGCCAAGAGCGTATGTTTAGAAGACCCAGGCAAAATACTTATCCGACAAATCCCCAGATTCTTCCTCATGCTACTTCTTACAATTGGTAGCTGCAATGTAACTACAACATTTTTAAGGTGCTACTTGAAAATTTATACTGTAAGCAGCATAAGTTCAGTATCATATTGAAACCAAAAGACCACAATTTAAGACAATTTATTTTCCAATGCGATTCAATCAAATCTCCATTTGTTGCTAGAAATGCTTCGCAGGTGGACAACTGCTGTTCTTTAATTTAGGCTACCATGGCTCATGATTGAGGTTTTAGTCTCCTCTTTACTATTACTTTTGTTTTATTCAGTCTCAAAATACTAAACCTGTACCTTGCAGGTGATTAAGTTGTCTTCACCATGCAACACTTCTCTTTTGTGATTTAAAGACAGCTATGGTCATTTCAATGTTTTATTCCCCCAAATTTTAAATTGCTACGTGTTTAAGCAATATTTATTTCTTATTTAAAACTGTCTGTAACTTATATGCAATGTAATATTAAACCATTAAATGCCTAGCGATATTGTGGGCAGTCAAAAATCAACCATCAGTTTAATCACAATTTAATACAGATATTATAAAACAGTAAGTTGTAAGGCTCTGTCCATAAATGGTAAGCAGCAGAAGCACCTACAATTTATTTTTTTAACATGACCAGTGACAATCACCATATCTTACTAAATTAGCATGTGAATCTCAGGATGTTCACACACACCCATGGTAGATATCCAACTAAATTAAAGAACGAAATCTCCACTTTGAAACCTTATAATACTTTACAACTCGTGAAAACAACATGTGTTTCTTCTGTGACACAGCTAATTCGGGCACATTTCCCCTTTAGAGAAACATAAATAAGATGTGGCCACCAATTTTACTATATGAATTTTATCTGAAAAAGCCTGTTAAGTGCTATCACACTGTATTGGGTTTGCATGGCAAGGTTGGCGTGGGGGACGACGACATTGAGCCATTGAGCGACAGTGGTTGTGCCTCTGCGTTAATATATTTAAGAAGGGGAAAAAGAGAAACTGCTGGGCAGCAGCAGCTGGAGAGAGGAGTGACAATATATGGGAGAAACAACTCTGCGAACACCAAAGTTGGTGAAGAAGGAGGGGGAAGAGGTGCTCCCGGCACTGGAGCAGAGATTCCCCTGTAGCCTGCGGAGGTTAATGGTGGAGCAGATATCCACCTGCAGCCCAGGGAAAACCCCACATTGGAGCAGGTGGATGTGCCCAAAGGAGGCTGTGACCCCATGGAGTGCTCATGCTGGCAGGACCTGTGACCCTGTGAAGAGAGAAGCCCAGGATGGAGCAGGTTTGCTGGCAGGGCTTGTGACCCCATGGGGAAACCAAACTGAAGCAGTCTATTCCTGAAGGACTGCACCCTGTGGAAAGGACCCACACTGGAGCAGTTAATGAAGAACTGCAGCCCGTGGGAAGGACTCATGTTGGAGAAATTAGTGGAGGACTGTCTCCTGTGGGAGGGACCCCAGGCTGGAGCAGGGTTAGAGTGTGAGGAGTCCTCCCCCTGAGGAGGAAAGAGCAGCAGAGGCAACGTATGATGAACCGACCGCAACCCTTATTCCCAGTCCCCCTGTGCCGCTGTAGGGGGAGGAGGTAGAGAAAACTGGGAGTGAAGTTGAGTCCAGGAAGAAGGGAGGAGTGGGGGAGAAAGTGTTTTAAGATTTTTCATTAAGATCATTACCCTACTCTGATTTGATTGACAATAAATTAAATTAATTTCTTCGAGTTGAGTCTGTTTTGCCCGTGACAGTAATCGGTGAGGGATCTCTCCCTGTCCTTATCTCGACCCATGAGCCTTTCATTATATTTTCTCTCCCCTGTCCAGCTGAGGAGGAGGAGTGATAGAGCAGCTTGGTGGGCACCTGGAGTCCAGCCAAGGTCAACCCACCGCACACATGGGACACGCACTGGATCTCCCAGCCACCACCAGCCAAACAGCGGAGGTGACCAGTCAACTACTGCATCCTATTTACCTATGTTATACACAAAACCCATCACGATAAACCAGCAATGCTAGAGTGCAGACGTCTTTGACTGCAGAGGAAAATAACTTCATGAGAACTTTAAGATTTTCTAGCAGCTTGTGTGAATTTGAACACATCCTACAATGCAAACCTCTGGACTCCTTCCAGACAAAAAGCCTCCTGCTGGAGACAGTTAAAAATAACATTTCCTGAAAACTAGATTTCAGGGGAGTTTTGTGTCAGCCCATCGAACTACGATTCTTCTACTACTTGATGAAGTAGCAGAGACTGAAAATTAATGCCTTTTTATTTTGTTAAGCTAAATAGAGCACATTAAAAAAAAAAAAAAGGCTATATCTGTGGTTAAAAGGCAAATGGTTCTGCAATTATCTCATTACATCATGTCCAGGCAAACCCCAAATGCTCACTTATTTAAAACAGTATCAATCCCACAGGCAATAGTGCGGGTTCAAAAGTTCATCATGCATACTCAGGTGCTGGAACCAAACTGGTGCCACACTAAGTGAACAAGACACTATTTCCTTTGCAACAAGCATCAGCAGGATGATGATCAAACTACCACATTTCCAACTACTTTTACAGATACGGACAGTAAAAGTATAATTCAATATTAGAGCTACTGACTAAAATACACCAGATGAAGATTGGATCCAAGGATGCAGAAACACGCATTATTTAAACCCACGTGCATTTGTAGATGTTACAGATGACACTAAGCTGTTGAACTTCACGAACCTCATGAAGTTCAACAAGGCTGAGTGCAAGGTCAGGGCAATCCCCAGTATCAAAACAGGCTGGGGGATGAATGGATTGAGCAGCCCTGCTGAGAAGGACTTGGGAATACTGGTGGATGAAAAACTGGACATGAGCTGGCAATGTGCGCTTGTGGCTCAGAAAACGAATCAAGTCCTGGGCTGCATAAGAAGCAGTGTGGCCAGCAGTCAAGGGAAGAGATTCTCCCCCTCTTGTGAGATTGCACCTGGAGTACTGCATCCAGCTCTGGAGTTCCCAGTACAAGACAGACATGGACCTGTTAAAGCGGGTGCAGAAGAAGGCCACAAAAATGATCAGAGAGCTGGAACACTTCTCCCGTGAAGAAAGGCTGAGAGTTCGGGTTGTTCAGGCTGGAGAAGAGAAGGCTCCAGGGAGACCTTATTGCGGCATTGCTACATTATTGGGCTGTTCAAACATAGTGGGAATGGAGATCCAAAATGTGGAATCAGACAGCAATAAAATGCTTAATAGCTTGTATTTTGGCTAAGGTGATGGAATAAGTGTTTGCTCTCTCTCTCCCGAACACCCCTCCCAATCCTGTGGGCAGAACACCTATGAATCCAAGCTGGCTTCCCTTGCATGCACAAGGGCAGCTCTTGACTTGGAGGATTTTTTCGTGCTGTGTTCCGTCGAGCCTCCTTAGTGGTAGCTAATTCATGGCAACAGGTGGGAAATGCGAATGAACCACTGGACTACCTTCCAGTGGCAGCCAGGGCAAAGTCCAAACAGTTGAGCTGCCGCGTGCAGTTCAATATAGCTTCAAATTTGATGCCATCCACCTCTGCTCTAGCATATTAACCGAAACCATGAGGATGCAAAATAAAAATCTACAAACAGGCCTCCCAATATGGCCAAAAGCACCACTCTTTTCACTGAAATGGCACAGCTAATAAAATACCCTATTAACTCATCATTTAATAGCTGAAATGGTGTGTAGCCTGCTGACTGAAGCTAAAGGGAACCTGTTAAAGTGCATTCCTTATCATTTAGCCCAAAGAAACCAGAATAGGCTTTTTTCTGCTCAGGGTTTTCATCCTCTTTCTATAACCGATAAACGGATCTCAACTTGGGTTAAAAGATAAATGCAACACTAAATCTGCTGTGCTTTCCATACAAAACACTGAAAGCCTCCCTTGAACAGAGCCACATACTAAAAGCCCCTGATTAGTCTTAAGACTTCAATGACAAATCTCCTAATGAGGCATCGCCAAGCTCAGCTAAAATCTGTTGTGGGCAAAACAAAATCAACATCAAACACCTTAATGAACTATATTACACAAAAAACACAGTAAGGTGATAAGGTGTGATTTTTATTTTTTTTTTAG